GAGGATGAAATGGAACTAATGTCTTTAATTTAATTACAAAATTAAATTCGAAGCTTTCAGCTTCCATTTTTGAAACATGGTTAGAACTGTGTAGCGAAAAAAAAACATATTTTAAATCAATTAATTTAGAATATATATATATATATATATATATATATATATATATATATAAATGAGAGAAGGAACAGATGGAGTGAAAATCCTCAGTTCATACATTTATTTTTAAAAAGTATATAATACAAAGTAGAGCAAAATATTATTATAATATTTTTTTTTAATATAAATTATAATAAAAATTTTTACTTCACTACAAAAAAATTTCATGTTTCAGTACTAAGATGGTACTTTTCAGTATGGTAAATTACTGTTATCTACCATTACCTGAAGAAATACCATTGCCTGCTGAATACCATGTTAGTACTGAAACAAATAAATAAAGTTTTTTAAATTAAATTTAAAATGTTTTTATTGTAATTTATTATAATATATATATATATATATATATATATATATATATATATAAAAGGCTCAAACACTAATATTCCATGGTTATAATTTATTACATTGGAATTATAATCATGATCCAATTCATCAGACTTACACTCTGTCCTGGACATTGAGTTCTACCTGGATTCTATCCTCTTGGGAATTTATATATATATATATATATATATATATATAAAACAAACAAACAGGCAGACAGACACTTTCTGGTATCTGGTCATCGGATGTGATAAGGTAATTTGATTTATAGTCCCCACTTATCCTCAGAAATGTCAATGCATTTTTCCTTACACACAGTTTTGTCTTTCATTTTACTCTGAAGAAGCCAGAAGAAGTAGACAATCTCACCTACCAAAATGCATGCATCATTTATAGCTTTTCCACTTTGTTTCATTGTTTTCAGTTTTGTTTTGGATACTATTATATGTCCCACAAAAATACAAGAATTTAATAGAAAATTTATCTCTGATTGCTTCAAAAACTGATGTAGAAGTTAAAAAATAATTTAAAAAAATCATAGCATATTGGGAATGTATCCAATTTCCTTTCATGACAAAATCCTTTTTCAGTTAACATATTTCAATACTTATAAAATCAGCAATACCTTAACTGTAAATTACCTTTAAATGACTATTTTTGTATTATAAAATTGATGAGTTAGTTCAAGTATTGTTTAAAGTGTGATGTTTTTGTTTGATGAATTATTTGGATGAGAATCTTTGTTTAATTGAAACCTTTTAGGCTGCACTCTCTAACCTTTCTCAACATTGTGTAAAGTTTTGAAGTGTTTGTAATTCTTCTTCTATAAATAATTTAATATGGACTCTGCACCATTGTGGCTTTTATTACTACATTTCAGTTACGCCATTTTCTGATCTTTCTCAATATTCTTTAAAGTTTTGCAATGAACTAATTCTTATATTTATTGATTATTATATTTATTGATTATTATATTTATATATTATTATATAATATATATTTTTAAATATAATTATAATTTTTTAAATTATTAATTTTTTAAATATAATTATAATTTTTTATATATTATTATATATTATTATATTTTATATATTTATTGATTATTATATTTATTGATTATTATATTTATTGATTATTATATTTATTGATTATTAGCCCAGAAGCTGCCCTTTAATTGGACTTTAGGCTAGGAGGATTTTTGCTTCATATATGCAATTGATCTCTGTAGTTTGTTTATATTTTTTTTGCATAAAATTTTTATTTTCTTTTAAAGTCCCCATTTTTATTTTATCCTTTCATATAAAAGTCACATCTTAAAAGATGGTATTAACCTGAACTATGTAATATTTTATATACATCATAAGATGTGTTTAAAGAAAAAAAAAAACATATGAGCAATGTACATATATATATATTTTTAATTATGGATTAATTAGATGATATCAATTGCAATTGGGATGAAAAGCAAAATTAAAGTTAGAGCTTTAATAAAGAATTGTTTTCTAAACCTTTCACTCTGTTTGATATTTAAATTTAACTTTAAATAGGTTATTTAATTTTTAATCATGTGTAAATACAGTCATTACTACCTGTTACTTCAGATTGTTTATGATACACCAAGATTGAAAAATGGATGGACAGACAGACATACATACACTGTGATTTATTTATATAGAAAACAATCATATTCATATGCAAAGTTGTTTTACACTTCATAAAAATGATTAAAAGATGAAACATAATTTTGATTATTTTATAATAATCAAAATCATGTTATTATTTCAATCACTGACTCATCCCATCTACACTATAACCTTTAAATATATATTCTTCATAAAATTCATTTTTTTGCAAAATAAAGATCCCAGCAAGAAGGTTTGATTGTTTTCTAGACACTAATATAGTAGTTAAAACAAAGATGACTGCATTAGTTCAAATCTATATACACATATACATACATTTACACAAAATACATACATACTTACATTACAAAGATAAAATAAATATATGGAATCTGGTCATTCAATCAGGTTTCAGGAATTAAGTCAAACTGAGAAATTTTCAATACCCTGACAGGTGTATAAATGAGAGTACAAATTGTTCTGGGATAAGATTTCTCAAACATTCAGACTGGTAGATAAAAATAAATCTACTGTTTAATAAATAAATGGAGTGT